CCAAGTGCTCTGCAAAGCAGTGTCAGAAGTCAGTATTCACAGTTACCAGAAGGCTCATTTGGCAAATATTGAGGGCAGGTATCAGACTTTGGGGTAAGGGGGTTTCTTCACAGGGATGCTTCCTGGAAAGCAATGTGGAATGAAGAGGCAAGAGTGAATCCTCATTTTGCATAAGGGAATCCTTGGTCCCACCATTCCTTTGTTTTTATTATAACAGGAAAAGTATGTGCTAATCTGAGGGAGGTCTGAGTCACCTTCCCTAGTGAGCCTCAGGGTCAGTTCTTCTAGTTAGGGCAAAACTCCATGAAGATGACTTTAAGAAAAAAAAAAAAAAAGATTCATTTACATAATAATGTATGTGCATGTATACAGTTGATACAGTCTGTTACCAAACAACATGCCATCAAAATTGATGTTTAAAATTTCTTCTGTACTCCTTTCCTCCCAAATTTAAATAATAATTCACTAATACCTCCAGAACTTTTTTTTTTGAGATGGAGTCTCACAGTGACACCCAGGCTGGAGTGCAGTGGCATGATCTCGGCTCACTGCAACCTCTACTTCCAGGTTTGTGTGGTTCTCCTGCCTCGGCCTCCCAAGTAGCTGGGACTACAGGCATGCCTCACCGCACCCGGCTAATTTTTTGTAATTTTAGTAGAGACAGGCTTTCACCATGTTGGCCAGGTTGATCTGGAACTCCTGACCTCAAGTGATCCACCCCACTTGGCTTCCCAAAATGCTGGGATTACAAGCACGAGCCACTGCACCTGGCCCAGAACTTATTTTTTCGACAATCACTTAGCTCACTCTGCTTAAGGCACTATCCTAGGTGCTTTAATATTATCTCATTTAATCTTTACAACAAGCTATGAAGTAGGTACTGTCATTATCCCCATTTGACAGATGAAGACATTGAGACAAAGAGGTGAAGTAACTTGCTCCTGGTCACACAGCTGGTGAGAAGCTGCAGAGCCCATGCCCTAAATGAGGCTCTGCTGCTTTGGAGAATGGAGCAGAGACACAGAGGTGCACAAATGGAAGCTCTGAAATGACAACAGGAGAATTCTTCAGGGGTCCCGTCCTCACTCTCTGGATGCCATTGGGAAACCATCAGGGAATAACTCTGTCTTTTCCATAACGTGGGGAAACTCACAGGGACAATCTAGCTCACACAGTTTATACAAGAAGGAGGTTCAGTTAATCTCCAAATATTAATCATGTAAAAATAGACATAAATGAAAGTGATCATTTCTGGTGAATGTGAGTGAGAACTTTGAAAATGCAGATGGAGTTACAAAGAGTGGTTACGAAATGTCCCCTATGTATATAGAAGTCCATGCTGGAAAGAAGCCAACACAGCTATCACTGCAGAGCCGAAGGAAAGTGAGGACAGGAGGAGCTCCTTCTGCCCCTCTGGGAAGCACTGTGGAGGGTGGGGAGGCCACGTCCACCCAGGGATTGGTCAGCAGCGGAACAGGCCCCACTGGGAATGGCGAGGACCCAGAAAGGAGAGAGACTGGGAAAGTAAGGACAGGGAGTTGGATGGTGACTCAGCAGCAGGCACTTGGGAGGGAAGCCAGGCAGACAATTAGCATCAAGAAGGCTTAGCAGGCCTTAGGCGGCGTTCTAGGGAACTAGGCAGAGAAAATATCTGAGAGCTCCCGGGAAGGGGGCCAAGACTCAGGCATGAAAGGCCAGATGGGGACTTGCTGCTGGAGTGGGAGGATACAGTGAGGGGAATAAGATGAGAGAAGATTCCAGAAGCAGGGGTACAAGATCAGAGAAGAATCAAAAACCTAACCTGAATGCATGCTGAGATTCTGTGCTGCCTACTCAGCTCCCAGCATCTTCTGAGCAGGAATAATGTTGGTCTTAGAATCTCACCCTACAGCTTCCCTGGAGGAGAGGATGAGAAGGGACTGTTGCAGGAGCAGCTCTGCCTGACCCCTCAAACCATTTCCCCAGCACCCTCCCTTGTTGGCCATTCTTTGGAATTCACTTCTTGCTGGGGTAGGGACCTAGTGTAGTAAATCTTTTTGATCACGCCATTGAGGTGAAGTGAACCAGGATATTCATCCTGTATTTGAACCATAATGGCTTTTGGGCTGCATGTAAAGCTTGAGCCTGGTTATCTATAACGTGTGAGCATGGAAGAAATTGCCCATTGATCTTGTTTCCGCTTCTTCCTTTGTCTGGACTAGGCAGTCTACAGAAGGCAAATACCGCCATCTAGTGGCGTATCCAGGCTTCTCGCCAGGAACTATATCTTGAATTGTAGAGACACAAACTTGGCTTTTTACCCTCTTCTGTCCAGCCCATGGGTCTGATTGTAACCCGCCCCAGGGGGCAGTGGGTCTTATATCTGGGTGCCATGCTGGGCCGTTTGCGACTAGAGTTTCAGGCCCCTTCTGCTCTAACAGTCTGCAAAAGGACTACACTCATCCCTGGACTCAACCATGTTGCCCTAAAAGGGCTGCAAGTTGCATCCCCAGCTATGTGTGAGTTTGGCCTCAAGAAGCAACCCTGAGCCTCTGGCATTGTCACAGAGGAGCAGCTCCACCGAGATGCAGAAGCTCAGTGATAAAGAATCTCTCAGTTAGAAAGAATGTCAGTCATCTAGGCCGGCATTCTACATAGTCCATTAGTGAGGTGGAATCAAATTAGTGGGATGTCAACAGCAATTGAGAAAAACATAGAATGTCAGAGTTGAGCTTGTGTTTCAGTGATATATCTATTCACGTGTAGTGTTCCCTGGTCAAAATATGAAATGTATTACAGAGCACTTTGGGATCTGAATCCCAGCACTTTGGGAGACTGAAGCAGGAGGATGAATTGAGCCCAGGAGTTCAAGACAAACATCGTGAGACCATGTCTCTACAAAAAAATTAAAAAATTAGCTGGGTAAGGTGGTGCACACCTATGGTCCCAGCCATTCAGCAGGCTGAGGTGGGAGGATCACTTGAGCCAGAGAGGTAGAGGCTGCAGTGAGTCAAGATTGCACCACTGCATTCCAGCCTGGGGTTCAGAACGAGACCCGGTCTGTGGGCAGTGGAAGGCATTCCCAGGCCCTGACCCAGGCCTACTGAATCATGATGTGTGATTGAGGGGTGGAGCAAGAGAAGGAACTGCTAGGGAATCTTCATTTTATAAGCTCTCTACATGATTTTTGTGTACACTCAGTGCCGAACCGCTGATGTTGACATTTCTGAGCTTGAATTTCCTGATGGATGAGATGGAGATGATAATACTACCTGGTTATTGTGAGGACCAAGTGGATAATTAATGTAAAGGTGTTTTGCTAACTGTAAAAGTACTCTAGAGATTTGAGGGGTCTCCATCCCACAAAATCCTTCTCTATACGATGTTTTTAAGGAGGATAGCACCAGGAGAGTGGGGGAGAGAAGACTGTGCATTTAATGGGACCAGGAGAGTTAAATGGAAAAATACTCACTTCTGTCTCCTTCCACCTTCTACCTTCTGTCCTGCAGATTTCCTGATCTGATCCCAATGGCAGTCCTGTGGGAATGTGGTTAGCACAGACCCCCTGCCCTGTGACTGGTGGTGACGCATATTGCCAACATCAGTCTGATGCATTATTTTAACCTTTTCAAGCCCCCTCTGAAATCGAAGTCCCTTTACTGGAAATTTCTTACAGTCCTGAATGCTGAGCTTTTGGTCCTGGTGGGACTGTTAATTCTCTACTCACTGTGACGTTCACTGTGTATGCCATTGGGCAGAAGCTTCCCAGAATGTGTGTGAAATGGCTACACAACATATTTGGACAAGTGCATTCATATGGCCACTGATGCAGAAAATTTGGGCCCTGAAGGCTTACATCAGAGATGCACAGACTGAAGTCGGTTCCCTGGAGGTGGTGCAGGGACTTTGCCTCCAAACTGCTTTTGGGGTGAACTTTAGAGGATAACAGGCTAGCAAGCTGGGCCTCATCCTCCTCATTCCTTCCCTTCCCTACCTGTCACTCTGCTCCTCAGTGCAGCTGTTCTTCCAAGAGGGAGACTGTACTTCGTTCTATGAGACAAACTAATAACCAAATGGATTCTCATGGAAATATGACGCCAGAGGAAAGGGAGGAAGTGGGGCCAAATCCCCAAGGCGAAAAAGTGAGAACTCCCAGCATTCAGCAGTAGGGGTTGTTCCTGTCAACCCCTTTTATTGGTTCTGCAACAGGATCAGTGAAGTAGGAAAAAGGCAGTGTGGAGCGAAGCCGGCATGGAGCGTGAGGGCTGGGGGTATGTTCCTAAGGAAGAAGTGGCCTGTCTCCCTTCTCATGCTTCCTCCCAGTCCCTAGTGCCTGAGCCTTGGAGGCTATTCCCCTCCCAGACAGACATTGCTTTACTTCTGCCTTTGAATTGAAGCCTCATTCTTTTTGTAGTCCTCGTAGCCTCAATTTTAGGCTGACGGCTCCAGTAAGAGGTGGGGATGGGAGGTGTTGCAGGGGTTAGAAGGAAGGAAGGTTGTCTCTTCCATTATCCCCTATCATCTAGTGAGAGTCTAGTGGGAGGGGTGAGTTAGAATAGATGCCCATACAATAGGAGTCTGAGGGTCCTAGTCAGGGCAGGGACAGAGCACAGGGTAAAACCCTTGGAAGGAGTAAAGGGGCATACAGGGAAGGGGTTTAATGGCACAATTAGCTGAAGCTTGGCAAAGGAATAATGAGCTCTAACGAAGCAAGAGGAATTAGAATCAAAGCCCTGGTTCTGGGCAGGCTTCAGACTGGCTACAGCTAGGAAACCTGAGTGATTGAATATAGCACTGTGCTAATTACATTTTTTTCTTGTTTTCTTTCCTGTTCTCAACTCTCCTTTTCATCTTCTGCCGTCTCTCTGCCCTAAACACCATTTTTCCCCTTTTTCCCCCTTCTCTTCCTCCTTACCTCTGGTCTCACACATTCTTTGTCCCCTCTCACCAACCCTCTCATATTTCTCCCCCTTCCTCCTCCTGCCCTCCTGTTCTACTCCCTCCACCACCACCCACCAAAGCTCTCTGGCGGATGTGAGCTGACAGTAGTCCTCCAGGACTTCAGTGCGGGCCACAGCAGCGAGCTGACCATCCAGGTGGGGCAGACGGTGGAGCTGCTGGAGCGGCCCAGCGAGCGGCCTGGTTGGTGTCTGGTCCGCACCACAGAACGGAGCCCGCCCCTGGAGGGCCTGGTCCCCAGCAGCGCCCTGTGCATCTCACACTCCCGAAGCAGCGTGGAGATGGACTGCTTCTTCCCCTTGGTGAAAGGTAGGAGAACAGAGTGGGTGGGAGGCACAGACCAAGGAGGCCACGAGCGCTGCTGGCCTGACTCTAGCTGAAGACCACCATGGAAGCAACCTGTCTTGTGGACCCATTTTGACCCTGTGGGGTTTCTTTGGGACCTGATTGTGAAGTGAATGGGTTGGGAACTTGGAGAGGAAGAGCTACCAAGTAACTGTGTGTGACTTTGGGAAGGTCATTTAGCCTTCGTGAGTCAGTTTCATCTTAGAAATGAAGGTTGAATTAAGTAACGTGTAAGATCTCTTCCGGTTTTCTCATCGTATCACACTACATTCGGAAAAGTCCTCTTCTACCTTTGGCCAAATATGGCTTAGACTCATCCTTTCTCCACTGACCCACTCCCCTCCACAGCAACTTCTGGCTCTCTGACCCCTCACCAAGTACTCTCATGCTGACCTGGAGACACCAGGCACACCCAGGGAGGAGCCACAGCTGAGTCAGATCTGATCCTGCCCTCAGCCCGGCCAGGGTTTGAGGTCCATGACTCCTTTATGTGCCTTCAACAGATAAAGTATTCTAGCCTTGGCTTTTGTTGTATGTAAGCTCTGTGTTCCCTTCACATGCCTGTTTACTCACTTTTTCTCATGCCAGGGAGACTAAACCCCTCATGACAGTGGTTCTTTAGGGGTGGTCTCTGGATTAGTAATATCAGCATGCCCTGGGAACCTGTTAGAAATGCAGGTGCCAGCCTGGGCAACATAGTGAGACCCTGTCTCTACAAAAATTTAAAAATGCAAGGTGGCACACGCCTCTAGTCCCAGCAACTTGGGAGGCTGAGGCAGGAGAATCACTTGAACCCGAGAGGCTGAGGTTGCAGTGAGGTTCCAGTGAGCCAAGATTGTGTCACTGCACTCCAGCCTGGGCAACAGAGTGAGACTGTCTCAAAAAAAAAAAAAAAATTTAAAAAATTAGCTGGGCAAGGTGGTGTGCACTTGTAGTCCCAACTACTCGGGGCACGGTGAGGCAGGAGGATCAGTTGAGCCCAGGAGTTTGAGGCTGCAGTGAGCTATGATTGCACTGCTGCACTCCAACCTGGCTGACAGCAAGACCCCACCTCTAAAAATAAAAAATCAAAGTTAAAAGAAAAATCCAGGTACAGTGGCTCACACCTGTAATCCCAACCCTTTGGGAGGCTGGCTTGAGGCCAGGAGTTTGAGACCAGCCTGGGCAACATAGTGAGACCCCCATCTCTACAAAAATAAAAAAATGTAGCCAGGCACGGTGGCGCATGCCTGTAGTCCCAGCTACTCAGTTGGGGGCTGGGGTAGGAGGATCACTTGAGCCTGGGAGGACAAGACTGCAGTAAACCATGCTTGCACCACTGCACTCCAGCCTGGGTGACAGAGCAAGGTCCTGCCTCAAAAAAGTTTTTTTTTCATTTGATTTTAAAGAAGAAAGAAACACAAATGATCAGAACCCCCACTCCTCCATAACTGGTAGGTCCCAACAGTCTGCGTTTTAACAAGCCCTCCAGGTGGCTCTGATGCACACTTGAGTTTGAGATCCACTGACTTGTGAAGTCCAAGTGGCAGAGGCCTTGCAGCCAAGCATTTTACACTGAGGAAGCCAAAGATAGGCTGTAGTTCTGGGCTTATTTTTGTAACTGGCCAGATCATCAGCAGCAGAGATGCCTTCTATGCAGACCTGTGCTAGATATTTCTAGGAGAGGAAGATGGGGATGAAGGTCAGCATGGAGACCTGCTGCAGGCTTCCTGATAATTGCTGTGAACTGAGAACATGTTTAAAACGCTCTGGTGTCTGGAGTGCCATCTGGTCTACCTCCAAAGCCTGACTTCCTTTCCTCCACTAGATGGCAGAAGCAGGCTGCATTGTTTGTGCTGCATCCAGCCTTCCAGGTTTTTCCCACCAGGAGAAAAATGTCAGCTAAAATCGCTGCCCTGATTCTCCTCACGCCCTCCACTCCCAATTTAGTCATTGCCTGCTTTCCCCTCTGTCCTCTGAGGACTAAGGAGGGACTATGTCAGGAAGTTGTTTGGGAATTTGAAATTGCAGGCACAAGAGGAAAATCAAGGAAACTGAGGAATCTGGTTCCACTTGAGGTCTAACCAAGAGAACAGGGTACACAGAAGGTAAATTATTGTGAGGGTAAAATGAGGTAACGGAGACAAAACACATCAGTGCCTGGCATTCAATGCACCTTAGTTGTCATGATAAGTTTTTGCTATTATATTATTTGCCATAGATTATCCAGCAAAATAACTACACACTCCCACAAGTCCAGCTGAGAGACCCATCTGCAGAGAAGAAACCAAGCACAGCAATTCATTTGCGGCAAAAGGCTAACGTTCCTTGGATCCCCAAGTGTGGGTCGTTTTCATCAGGAGGGACTCAGCTTCAAGGGAAGATGAGACTTCCTGACCTAGACCTGGCCTCCTAGCCCAAGGCTGGGTGAAATGTGCACTCCCTCCCTGCTGGGGCTGCCACATGTGCAACTTGGCAGGAGCAAACCCAAGGTGGAAAATCAGAGAGCAGTGTCAGAGTCAATCTGTGATCCCGAGGCAGGAGGTGGAAGCATTCAGGGTAAGAACTGCACAGGACTGGGGGTTCTCTCTACTATAGGACAGATTAGTGGAGATTTAACTAAAAATAGGAGCTGCAGACCAGGAATGGAAAATAGAGGCAAGAGACAAAACTGGGAGGGAGGCTGTCATAGAACTTTCCAGTTAACTCTGCCAACCAGCATAGCTTCTTAAAGGTACCAGCAGTGCCTATCACCCATTTCCCTAGCTCTTTTCATTTCCAGGTTGGTTCCTGTTTCCCCTAGGTTAGGCCAGTTATGCTGAGCCTTCAAATGGCAACCTGTGAGGTCTTACTATCTTCTCACTCATGTGAGCTCTGAATACAGAGGTCCTCAACTCCCGGTAGTCAAGGACCTAAGTCGGCCAGGTGCGGTGGCTAACTCCTATAATCCCAGCACTTTGGGAGACTGAAGCAGGTGGATTGCTCAGGCTCTGGAGTTTGAGACCAGCCTGGGCAACATGGTGAAACCCTGTCTCTACAAAAACCTTAAAAATTAGCCAGGTGGGTGGTGTGCACCTATATAGTCCCAGCTACTCGGGAGGCTGAGGTGGGAGGATCACCTGATCCCAGGCGGCTGAGGCTGCAGTGAACCATGATCACACCACTGTGCTGCAGCCTGGGTGACAGAGTAAAACCCTGTCTCAAAAAAAAAAAAAAAAAAAAAGAAAAAAGAAAAAAGAAAAGGACCTAACTGCATTCTCCGTGGAGCATTCCTTATGCCCTTAACTAGACCCCATTTGAAAGTACGTGCAGTCATGCACATGGCCCAGCCTCAAAACCCTTTCCCTCTCTCTCTGGGGTCTGCCCAGAATGTTGGCCTTAGCTAAGACCCAATAAGCTGTTCCTTCTCTTATTCCAGCCGGCTGCCTGCTGGCAAAGCGCCTTTTCTTCTCTCAGCAGTAATTTGTCTCCAGTGGGTGCTTTACCTTATAAGTTATGCACAACTAGATTGAGAATAAAATGTTCCTCTGGGGGTTGTGGAATAGGACAGAATGGTCTCATCTGGTGTCAGGAGGTTGGAATCAATTCCTCTTCAATTCCTATAAGAGAACTGATCCTCTTAGCATTTGCAGAGAGCACCAAGTCAGCACTCTCACAGGCTGTGTGAAACGGACTATGTGTGATGGCTAAGTACCTCGTGAGTGCTCAGGCCATGACCATCACCCCAGCTATGGGGGCAAGAGAACCACAGGATGGTTCTTGATGATCCACTAGAACAGGGTTCTCAACGCTGGCTGCACCTAAGAATCATCTGTGAGCTTTTCCAAATGGCAGTGCCCAGACCCCACCTAGAACAAATGGAATCAGAATCTCTGGATGGGTCTGAGGGGTCAGTATTTTTAAGTGTTCCGTAGGTGAATCTAAGGTGCAGTCAGGGTTGAGAACCACTGCACTAGCCTGGTCTCCTCTCTTCCAGGGGAACACTCAGGCTCAGGAAAGCAAGGTGACCTCCCGAAAGCCACAGGGAGTCTGTGGCCGAGCTGGCGCAGACCAGGGCTCCCAACACCTGTTGGGCTTCTGGGTAGTGCTAGGGCTCCTCTCTGCTCTTCCCTCCTCTGCCTTCTGTGGGAGCAGTGGTTGGTTATTTCCTCCTAATATGTCTTGGTGTCATTCCTGATGGGGTTGGTGAAAACGAGTGGGGCTGTGTGACAGAATTGGGGTGGGGCTGCCTTTCCTGCTACTTTACTGCCACCCTGACATCTTAGGGCTTCTCACTGGGACTGGGCCCTCCAGCCCTAGTCCTGCCTTGCCACAGTCCCCTCTCACTTTCACAGCAGCAGGTGGTGGAGGGCAGCACCTCCCAAGAGGCAAGCCTTTGTAGCAGTGGTTTCCAACTCTGGATGCACCTTGGAAACCACCTGGAGGAGGTTTCTAAAGATACTGGTGCCTCATACCCACCCCAGAACAATTAATCCAGCTGCCAAGGACCTGGGCATCAGTGTATTTTTAAGCTCCTTCATGGAAAAAAAAGAAAAAAATTAGCTGGGCATAGTGGCATGCACTTGTAGTCCCAGCTAGTCAGGAGGCTGAGATGGGAGGATTGTTTGAGGCTGAGGGTTCAAGGCTATAGTGAGCTGTGTTCATGCCACTGCACTCCAGCCTGGGCAAAAGAGCAAGACCCTATCTCAGGGGAAAAAAAAGAAGAACAAACTTAGTGATTCTGATGTTCCCTTACGGTTGAGAACCACTGCTTTGTGGACTCGGGATGCCCAGGGTGTCAGGCTTAGGAGATACTTAAAGATGTATTAGAAGGGTTGAGGGTTAATATCCAGATTATATAAAGAACTTCTGCAACTCAACAACAACAACAACAACAAAAAACTACATTTAAAAATGGGCAAAGGACTTAAACAGAAATTTATCCCAGGAAGATATAGCAGTGATGGATAAGTACATGAAAAGATATTCAACATCACTAATTATTG